AGAGAGAGAGGAGAGAGAGAGAGAGAGGAAGGGCGGGGAGAGAGATGAGAGAGGAGAGAGAGAGGAGAGAGAGAGAGAGAGAGAGAGAGAGAGAGAGAGAGAGAGAGAGGAGAGAGATGAGAGAGAGAAGAAGAAGTAATTCTTTCATTTTCATCTCTGTAAATCATCTTAAAGATCCAGAAGGAAATATGGAAATACTATCCACATCAGTTGGCGCTGCGAATCTCCAAGAGTTACATGAGCGTCTCGAATGCCATAGCCCAACCTGTAGCAGCAGAGACAAACAAAAAAAAACTTGTTGATACTACAAGGTATGTGCGTACGTGTGTGGCGTCATCCGGCGGTGTATATAAGCCTCGCACGGAGCTCCTGGTCTCAAAGACGACGGATCTCGGCCACGTCCTACCAGCATGAAGCTCCCCTCGCTCTCGCTCCTGGTGGCGGTCTGCCTCGCGAGCCTCGTGGCCATCTCGACGGCGCTCCCGCAGAGAAGCCCCGGGGTTACTCGGGGGACAACGCCCTGCTTCCTCTGTTTGCCGATATGCTTGTGGCCCTGTCAGAGATCGGGCAGAAGGTGCAGCTGCCCGCAGATACTTAGGAACTGAGATCTCCCTGCGTTCTTCATGATCTTCCTAGGCACGGGCAAGTGGTTGGACACGTTGGAATGCAGGGATCGAGACGCGGCCGTTCTCATCTGCGTATATCTACGTCATATATGAACGTCTATCGCCACAATAGACATTCTTCAGTCTCCGCAAGGCAGTGTGATATTGGCGTCATTTATTGACGTCAGTGTGTCTCGACCTGGACTCTTCATCTTCAATTCAGTATCTGTTAATAAGTTGCAGTGTTAGAACCTCTTCTGCTCATTTGTTGATCCTGTTTGTTAATGAGAAAACGATTGAAAACCATAACTTGGCATTTCATTTGTAATCCTATAACCTCTATTGAGCAGACACACTGTTTAGTTAACAAAATGATTCCGAATTAGGTAAAGAAAAAGAAGAAAAGGTAATTTGTGGGAAAATGATCTTCGTTTGTCCGTAGGGCTGCACTCGTGACTTCGATGGCTTCATATTTTATACCAGCACGTTCTAAGACGCTGAACTACAACAACTTTTCTTTCTTTTTCACCTCTCATCAATCTCCATAGCTTTAGACGTTTTTATCGACGTGAATAACCACTGATCTGCGATATATTAAACCACAATAATATGACTGTCACCTGCAACATGTACGTATGTTGCAAACTCACTGAAGAAGAATTCCGGTTTGTGACACCACTTCCTCCCCAAGTAAATATTTTCTTAATGTGTATTCCCAGAATACTTCATCTATTAATATCTGTTATTGAATATATCTTTATATAGTTGAATTATGTACACACCGACACATGTTGAATACCTACACCTACTCCCACAAACACGTATCATTATATCATCATTATTATACTTATTATTATCCTTATTATTATTGTTGTTATTATGATCATTATCATTACTACTGCTACTTCTACTTCTACTACTACTCCTACTACTCCTACATTATTATTGATAATATTAGCAGTAGTAGCTTTAAGAATTTTGTTTATTTATCACATTACCTTAGCCATCATCATGATTATCTTCAAATATATTTTCAACTATTGTTATCATCATCATTGATACAATTTTCATTTGTTGTTATCATACCATCATTAATATAAATTTCATTTGATTTAATTTTATATAAATTTCATTTAAATTATCATAATTAATAAATTTCATTAATATAAACTTTCAAACATATTTCTGAATAAGGCGCGATGTGTTTTCCCCGAGAAAATTCTGTTATATCCTGGCAACGATTATTCATCCTGTTCTCTGGCGAATCTAGCAACTCTACGCCGCATATATAAACGGGATTCACGAAGCCGTTCGCCAGGTGTTGGGAGACGACCACCTACTTCGCAATCACGGACCAGACTTGACCGAACGCCACGACAGACCAACATGAAGCTCCTGTCATTCGCTTTCTTGCTGGCCATCTGCCTAGCCAGCCTCGTCGCCATGTCGGAGGCACTCCCGCAAAAGACCAATCCTGCGTGTGGGCCTTGCTAGGAGAACCAGTACTGGGGGGGGAATGCGAGTGCTTCCGGGTCCCTCAGTGAGCCCGAAGCTCTGATTGGCTTTCGCCGGGGAAGTTGCTCCTTGCGAAGGCGCTCAAATTGAGATCATTCACTGTCTACGGACATTCTCTGAAGATGAACAAGACACTTACGGCTTGTCAATCCTTTATGGGAATGTATGCTCTTCTGTAATGCTGTTTAGTGCCGAAATTTGCGTACATTTGCAGTTTTTATGTTTGGGTTTTAGCAAGAATGAAAAAAATATATATAAATATGCATTTCACTTATTGATCCTCTTGTCTTCTTGGATGACGACATCCTCATCAAGTTTGAAATGATAATGTATAACAGAAAAATAAATTATATATAGTATTATATGTATGTAGGTATACACACAGACACACCACACACGCACATACGCACACACACACACACACCACACCACACACACACACACAACACACCACACATATATATATATATATATATATATTTATATATATATATATAATTAAATGCATATTCACTCGCATCGCCCAATACGAAAGCAAATGCACAGTCTGCAAGCCCGAGTAGCAGTCAGCAGCAGGTGATTGCATCTCACTTTCCTCACCTGTCTGTCAAGGGGATTCCCCTAAATGGCTCGACACTGGGTTCTAGGAAATGGATTCTAGGAAATGCAGGGTTTTAGTGACCCCTTTGAGCTCTCGCCGTGTCACTTGGGATTGAATGGTGTTAATAATGATAAGGATGATGATGGTAATAACCACAGTGATGTTTTGATGGTGATGTGTGGTGATGATGTATGATGAATATGTTACAGTGTTTGGCCAGATTTCCCAACGTTATAACAATAAATTTGTTGTGTCAGCATATTATGGTTGCACTTATAGATTGATAGTCAACTTTGTGTAATTTGGTGAAGCGAAACAGCCAATTTTGGATATTTTACACCACACGGAAAGAAAGAAAAAAAAAAACAACATAACAATTTATTCTTGTGCTAACACCGAGAACGAGAGAAAAATAACAACTGTCGNTATACACACATAAATGCATATTCACTCGCATCGCCCAATACGAAAGCAACTGCACAGTCTGCAAGCACGAATAGCAATCAGAAGCTGGTCTGCATCTCACTTTCCTCACCTGTGTGTCAAGGGGATTCCCCTGATTGGCTCGTGACTGGGTTCTAGGAAATGGATTCTAGGAAATGCAAGGGTTAGTGACCCCTTTGAGCCCTCGCCGTGTCACCTTGGGATTGAATGGTGTTAATAATGATAAGGATGATGATGGTAATAACCACAGTGATGTTTATGATGGTGATGGTGGTGGTGATGATGATGATGAATATGTTACAGTGTTTGGCCAGATTTCCCACACGTTATAACAATAAATTTGTTGTGTCAGCATATTATGGTTGCACTTATAGATTTGATAGTCGCCTTTGTGTAATTTGGTGAAGCGAACAGCCAGATTTTGGATATTTTACACCAAACGGAAAGAAAGAAAGAAAAAAAACATAACAATTTATTCTTGTGCTAACACCGAGAACGCGAGAAAAACAACAACTGTCGAATTAAATTATTTCCCAACACCACCAAAGCGTTCCGGAATCCTGCTTCGAATATCATACAAACGAAGCACCACACTGAATTGGTTCTGAAGTTCCCTCCACCGCTGCCGCGTCGAAGGCCTCGTGAAACGGCGTCGCTCAAGAGGCAGGTCCCCGTCGGCAGGACCCGAAGGCAGCCGCTCACCCCCTCACTCTGAACTGCGTCGGCCCACAGAGGCACGGGTTATCATATCGCCGACAGGGTGGCTGGCAGTAGGGAGGGGGGGTGGGTATTGTCGGCGAGAGATGCGGCCGCACAGCAGCGAAGGCCGTCTGGGGCGCCGCGTCGGAGGAGACAGCCAGGGCGGCGAGGCAAAGCGCCGCGCTGAAGAACGCCTTCGGGAGCTTCATGTTGGTCTGCTGCGGCGACGGGGAAGCGGGTCCTTATATATGGCGACAGCTGGTGGCGGACAAGATTCAGTTTATGGACTTCCTTTGCGGCGACTGCGGTTGCTGGTAAAGCCATAGGATCATTACAGGGTGAGTGATGGAGCGACAACAAAGAGTTTGCCCTCCGCCATGAATGCGTCACGGAGAAATGGTTGGCTAAAGAAAGCTAAAGAGTTCTAACTTAGAGGGAATAACACACACACACACATACCTTAGAGGGAATAACACACACACACACACACATAACTTAGAGGGAATAACACACACACACACACACATACCTTAGACGTAATAACTTCGTATAGCATACATTATACGAAGTTATACGAATGGTTGGCTAAAGAAAGCTAAAGAGTTCTAACTTAGAGGGAATAACACACACACACACATACCTCAGAGGGAATAACACACACACACACACACATACCTTAGAGGGAATAACACACACACACACACACACCTCAGAGGGAATAACACACACACACACACACATACCTTAGAGGGAATAACACACACACACATACCTTAGAGGGAATAACAGACACACACATACCTTAGAGGGAATAACACACACACACACACATACCTTAGAGGGAATAACACACACACATACCTTAGAGGGAATAACACACACACACACAGCCCTTAGAGGGAATAACACACACACACACACACATAACTTAGAGGGAATAACACACACACACACACACATACCTTAGAGGGAATAACAACCACACATACCTCAGAGGGAATAACACACACACACACACACATACCGTAGAGGGAATAACACACACACACACATACCTTAGAGGGAATAACAACCACACATACCTCAGAGGGAATAACACACACACACACACACATACCGTAGAGGGAATAACACACACACACACACATACCTTTGAGGGAATAACACACACGCACACATACGTAATAACTTCGTATAGCATACATTATACGAAGTTATACGAATGGTTGGCTAAAGAAAGCTAAAGAGTTCTAACTTAGAGGGAATAACACACACACACACATACCTTAGAGGGAATAACACACACACACACACATACCTTAGAGGGAATAACACACACACACACACATACCTTAGAGGGAATAACACACACACACATACCTTAGAGAGAATAACACACACACACATACCTTAGAGGGAATAACAGACACACACATACCTTAGAGGGAATAACACACACACACACACATACCTTAGAGGGAATAACACACACACACATACCTTAGAGGGAGTAAAACACACACACACACACATACCTTAGAGGGAATAACAACCACACATACCTCAGAGGGAATAACACACACACACACACACACCTCAGAGGGAATAACACACACACACACACATACCTCAGAGGGAATCGTAATAACTTCGTATAGCATACATTATACGAAGTTATACGAATGGTTGGCTAAAGAAAGCTAAAGAGTTCTAACTTAGAGGGAATAACACACACACACATACCTTAGAGGGAATAACACACACGCACACACATACCTTTGAGGGAATAACACACACGCACACATAGATAGATAGATATAGATGTGTGTGTGTGGATGTATGAACATTTCAGCGTCAGGCAAAGCCGTCGATAACTACTGCGCACTTAGTATTCCCTGGCAAGAGGACATTGAGGGCGACTACCGTAGAAACCACAATTTTTTCCGTTGACGTTGTGTCCTTTTTAGATAAACACTAATCGACCTTCTGTTCATCTGGCGTAGGTACTACTGTCCCTCGCCGAGTGGAAGACGCAAAGTAATTATCCGGCAGCGATGTAAAATAACAG